TCACACTTGTTCAGAACAGTATAGCACTCGTTTGTATTTATGTTTTTAATTCTGTTCTTTTACATTAAGAACTATAGTTCTTAAAGTTCTTAAAGTCAAAAGTTGTATGGACTACTTTTATGGATCTTTTTGGACACCATATGCTATATCATTGTATGGAAAAGTGAGCAAGTGAAGTGACATGTGGCCAAGTATGGTGACCCATACTCGGAATTAGTGCTCTGCATTTATCCCATCCAAAGTGCACACACACAGCAGTGAACACACACCCAGAGCAGTGGGCAGCCATTTTTTTTGCTGCGGCACCTGGGGAGCAGTTGGGGGTTCGGTGCCTTGCTCAAGGGCACCTCAGTCATGGTATTGAAGGTGGGAGAGAGCACTGTACATTCACTCCCCCCACCTACAATCCCTGCCAGTATGAGACTCGAACCCACAACCTTTGGGTTACGAGTCCAGCTCTCTAACCATGACTCTAGAAACATTTTTTAAAGCATCTCCTTTTGTGTTCCAAGTAACTTGACTCATACAAATTTTTTTTTTTTGCCATCTAAAAACCTTTATTTATCCCAATTAGAAGTCTTGAGTTCAATTTTACCTCAACCCAAAACAAAACAGTCTTAAACCAAAACAAAACCAATGTAGCATAAAATGTCACTTAGTGAAACTGCTTGATCACATTTGTAAACATACAAATGGCAGTGCATTTACATGCGGAGTTTAAGAGCGTATGTTGACATCATGTAACAACAAAATGATTATGCAATTCAGTGACATGCAACATAACCTTAATACCAATCAATGGTGTTTCTGATCATTTTAATACAAGCAGAGACATCAACACATTATGTAACTGTCATTTGCAAAACAAGCAACATGTGGAAAGCAAATTAACCCCAGAGAACTTCGATGAGAACATAGCACCACAGTAAATGTCTGCAACCACGAAGCAGCATAATGGGCAGATGATAGTCCTGAATTGCAGAGAATACTTTAATAATGATAATGAAGGCCTCACTTTAATGAATTCTAAAGTGATGTACTTTCCTCCTCAAAAATAAGTGCATTTAGAACAAAATCAATTGACCAAAAAACATTTCAAAGTGTTTGTTTAATTTTCTAGTTTTAAAACAGCCCTTTATTAATATATAAAGCAAATCTTCTTGTTATATGAACCCCATAAAAAACAAATCTCCTCAATATATTCCTTATAAATATAGCATCTATATAAAGATGATAGATAGATAGATAGATAGATAGATAGATAGATAGATAGATAGATCTACTGTATGATTCTGCCCGGACCCATATGCACCTGCATACCCAGATGCTACGCCACTACCATGATTTATTTCCATTTGGCACAAGTGTTGAAATGGGCTTAAAGACCCCAAGGCTGTTTAGACATTTTCATTACCTGATGGGACACGTGATATAAACTTTTTACAGTGCTTTATTTACACAGTACAACGGCACCAGTGCGCTCACCACACTCCAGCTACAGGTGGAGAGGAGAGAGAGATAGAGCCAATTCAGTGGATTTTTAGGAGGCCATGATTGACAAGGGCCAGTGGAGGAAATTTGACCAGGACACCGGGGATACACCCCTACTCTTTACTAGAAGTACCATGGGATTTTTAATGACCACAGAGAGTCAGGACCTCTGTTTAACCTTTCATCCGAAGGACGGTGCTTGTTGACAGTGTAGTGTCCCCATCATACTGGGGAATTAGGACCCACACAGACCACAGGGTGAGCACCCCCTGCAGGCCTTACTAGCACCTCTTCCAGCAGCAACCTATAGTTTTCCCAGCAGGTCTGCAATCCATGTACTGACCAGGCTCAACCCTGCTTAGATTCAGTTGGCAACCAGTCTTGGGCTACAGGGTGATATGGCTACTGCTCCAAAGTGGTTTTAAATATAGTGCAACCAACATCACAAACTCCCGTAGGTGAAATACAATATGTGAGTATAGCCTACCTGTCTTCACAGCACTGATAAAACAATAGGTGAAAAGTACCCGGATGACCTACAGTCTACTTCTGAAGTTTTTGAGTAGTCAGAGACCCTATCTGCAGGTTACACCAATAGGAGGCGACAAGTGACTGCTTTACGCGCTAATAATTTAATCGACAAAATCGTTCAAAAACATTCGGAGTTCAAAACACTGATTCATTATAGCGGTCTGAACGGCGTTGGTCATCAAGTCTGCCTCTATTTATAATATAATGTCTGCGCACTCAAAAGGCGCCAGAAGGGTTTTCAACATCCTCGGTTAATGGTGTCCGAATGTATCGTCGGTTCAAATCGTGCAGACAGCAGCTGTATACAGTAGCTGGACAACAAGTAAAAACTCAGAAGAATGTAAGGCACTAAATGTTATCATTTTCTTACATCGGTCGAGCTCCATTGAGGCGCCAGACTCGAGGCAATTCCACTTTCTCAGTTGTTGAGGTTTCTGGTTTCTGAATAGAGCGTGGGTTCAAATCTACGGTGACCGAGAGGTGCAGAACAAATCACAATTCTGAAAACAAAATAACAAATTACAAACGCAAATGCAAGTCTACAAAACAAAATAACAATTCAGAAAGCACAACAACAATTCAGAAAACA